CCCATTGACAGCTGGAGATAGACACCAGCACCCTTCGTAACCCCACTTGGGATTAAGCGTGTTAGAAGATGGATGGATTTTGTTCAGTTAGTATATGACATATTAAAAGTTAAAGAAAACTGATACACTACTTTGTTGACACACTTTTAGGTGGCAATAAGGCTACCAAACATTCTACAAAAATACTTTCTGCTGTTTAATAATGCATAATATCTTTTTTTTTTTTTTTTTTGGTACTAATATTATAGATTTAGGCAAAGCAACACAAACCTAAAATATGTAAATTTAGAGTATGTCCCATTAAAATTCAGCAGACTGGTCTTTCTCTGTTTTCCCTTTCTGACAGTAAACCTATATTACACAGGGACTTCACCCGCTGTCAGATTAAAAGTTATTTAATTCTGTTTTTCATAAACAATACATCATAATAAAAGGCTTAGGAAATATCTTTACTAATACAAAACATATTAGAAAATCTTAGTTGTATTCATCTTTTCCTGCCCTGAATAACTTAGAAATATGAACTAAATGAGCTACCCCAAGTGTGTGGAAAACAATATTAGTGGCACAGTCCTTGTAAAAATTACAGGGTTATTTGTAAAATAGTGAAAATCTTCTGTATAGTTGCAGAGGTTAAAAACATAAGATCAAGCCTTAATAATGTATATCTATTGTTTTCAGAGTGCAACATAAGAACATTAGACTTTATGTCCATGTAAGAAAATTTGGATATCATGAAAATATTGAAAATGTGTTTAATAAATTCAAACTCATATCTTATAAAGATTCTTTGCCAATAATGTTTAAATATTCCAAGATTTTTTTCTGTGTCAGTTTAAAGATCATGGTTATATAAAAAAATAAAAAAATAAAAAAAAAAAGGCCTGAAGACCTTCTTCCTGCAGATTCTGGGACCTGAATTTTAAATTAAAAGTGAATAGATCAGTGGTTCAACACATCACATGTGAAGTACACCGCATCCCGTGTTATTTTTGCTAGACATTTCTGTTTTTTTGTCACATGGCAAAAATAATACCTAATGAATGTTAATCATAGTTGCCTTTATTCTGTGTGTAACACATGCAGAGTTCTTCACCTGACAGTTTTTAGCTTGCTGCTGAGGTAGGTTTGGTTTGATCTCATCGTAGCCCCGTCTTCTACATATTAGCTGTGCCTCTGACTAAACTTTTCCCAAATAGTTTTCTTTCAAAAAACAAAGATTGACCTAACGGAAAGAAAAAATAATAAGCTGCATACAGTGTTGAAAGTTAGTTTAGTTAAGATTATAAGATTATTTTATTTTGAATTTTAAAGTTATTTAATTATTTTTTCATTACTATTTTAAAGCTAATTAAAGTATGAACAATTTTATGACATCTGTTGAAACGGTATGAACATTGTATTAGACATACAGAGGGTTTATTTCAGAAATCAGTGAATTCCTCTGACATAGAGAAAGGTGAAATATGTAGAAATATCTTGACATCAACTGCAGCACTCCAAAAAAAATAAAAAACAGCATTAGTCGTTTATATTAATTTTAAAACAATAATTCCTAACAGACTATACAATACCTATCCTGGACAACCAGACTGTTATGACTTATACAAGGAGTATTCAAGTAACCCAGGTTAAAATCACCTTCAAACAGCTCTGTACCGAGTGGCGTACTGTACAGTGGGAACCTCAGACCCGGGTCGACCTGCTAATTTACATGATACCAATTAGCACAATTTACAAACATCAATAGATCAAACCAGTCAAATCTGATCTAACTAGCAAAAGCAACTTTGCTTTCATTCAATAAACATGACACCGCACTTGTACAGTAAGAGGGATTCGGAGGGACAAAAGAACAAACAATAGAGCACACTTAAAACGTGGTGGATCACCTCCATGTTGTTCTCCACTGTTTACTTTCCTAAATTCTGTCACACTGGTGACATCATTAACACTAATCTTCACACCTAATGGGCTTTGGGCAGCAAAAGCAGCAGGTTTACATGCAAAGTCAATGGTTGACGCGCATCAAAAAGACCTGCAGTGCATCTAGAGCAGCAGGAGCAGTGAATCTTGACGCATCTGAGTGGCCGAAGCCGCGCCTCATGACCTTCTGAGGCGTGTGACGTGCTTCAAAAGCAGCAGATACTGGAGATGGAAACATGTTATTTCTGTTGCTCGACACACCACCTCAACCAATCAGAGAAGCTGATCTGGGAGGGGGCAGGAAGACAGACGCAGCACTGCTGATGCAGAAGATTATGATCACTCCCCCGAAAAAGTTTATTAATGCCCAAATTAAATTAAAATGTCGAAATGTTTCGGCAAAATATGTTAGCCTTTATTATCCTGGTTCCTGCAGTTTGTACCACATACTTGAAAAATGCTAATATCTACTTCCAGTCGCAATGAACAGTAGGGGGAAAACCTCCAAGAGGCGACCCGGTCTGATGCAGCTTCTGCTGGGGATTCCCATTGACAGCGCACCGCTACTATGTGGTGGTCTGTGCGGCTCCAACAGCGAAATAATATATCAAGGCCGGATCGTAATCTTGATGAACTGACTGCGCAGACGATTGTTTGAGGTTGATTTTCTCACTTAAAAACATATTAAAGCAGCTTTTTACCAACTTATCACAGCAAATATAGCAAAGCCACTCTCTGCCATTGAACACAGGAGCAGTACAAGCACCAGACACGTCCGTTCAGACTATACTGGACACGCTACAGGAGCATCAAAGATACTCTTCAGGTGTATTGTGTCTGACCTTGTGTCTGACATGCTAATTTCAGTGGGAAAGAGGCTTAATAGGGTGAGCCTCATCAGGGTAGAACCAATCATAATTATGGATGTGACGCAAAAACTCCAAGCTAAGCACTCGATAAACATGTTTTTGAAATTTTGTAGTGAAACATGTCAAGCAGTCAAAGAAACTCTCCAGTGAACAATTTATGCCAGTGGTGCCAAAAAAGAATCTGAGGAAATAAGAAAAGCACTGTGGCATTATGGGTAATTCTGGTGCTCAGAGTCACACATTGTAAAGTCTGTAATTCAGTCTAGATGGCCAGGCTATACAATACCAGAAAAGAAAAGCTTTTGCACCAAAAAATAAAAACAAGGCACACAATAGGTAAAAGTATTTTGTTTAAAAAATATGGATTCACAAACTAGTATACCAATGTTTTATAAATTACACTTAAACTAGTATTTCCAGTACAAGTAATAAATCATGCTAGTGAGATAGTTAATCTCTGGGTAGCTCCACAAGCTTCTCTAAAATGTTAAGGAAGTTTATTTTTCTATTACCTTTCTTAGTTTTTCATCAACGCATTTAGGCACTTGTTCCTGGGAAGGAAAGAAACAGTGTACTAACATCTTTGATATAATTAAAGTAAATATTAGTGTTGCGCCAATGCCATTTTTTGGCCCCGATACCCGATACCTGGCTGTGCAGTATCGGCCGATACCGATACCATAATAATGTAAAATAATTGCCATCATGGCTTTGTCGAGCTGCTGCCTACCTTTGTGAAGCAGGAAAAAATCTAATACAAAGTGAATCCAGTAGAACTTTTTATTGCCTACCAGGAGAGGGTGACAATAGTTGAATAAACTTATGGCTCTCAAAATGTTATCGGTGCCCTATTTGTTGGTACTCTCCGATACCGATACCACCATTTTAGGGCAGTATCGGGGCCCCGTCCGATACTGGTATCGGTGCAACACTAGTAAATATCAATGCAATTGTTAGTATGCAAGCTAATTATAATCAATAAGCTTCTGTTAGCATAGAAAAGGTTGGAAATATGCTAGAAATAAGGTCTTAAAATAATGATTAGCGGATATTTTACAATTATATTCTTCATGGACAAATGATTTAGGTCTTTTTATTTTCATTTTTCAAAAATATTTTATTTGATATTGATCCAGGTACAAGGAAATTAAAAAGCATGGATTTATTTTACAGGTCTTGAGAATGAAACGGTAGGATTTTATTTTCTTGATTCACTTTTTTTTGGAGAACATGCAGGTGGATACAGAAGATGGTGTACAGAGAGGAGATAAAAGAGAAAAGGAAAACTGTACTGTAGAAATGGCATTGGATTTAGTGTTGCTTCACCCCTAACTATACAGGAAAGACTTCATCCAACAACTTTCGCTTTTTGTCACTTTTGATCCTCTTTTATAGCAAAAAGGAAAGACATAGATAGGCGACAAAGAAGCAACACTATTAAGAAAATGAATGAAAGAGGTAAAGCACCTCCATCTTTGAAAAATACATTGTTTTTTTTTTGTCTGGACAAGCAAATTGTGTTTTTACTCCTTGAGTTGGAAGGTTGTGAATGGAGAAGAGCAGTGCAGTGAACATGCAAGACAAAGAGTGACTTGGATGACAACTGACCCGGCATATGACTTGCTGTGAGTACAGTGTCCGCTGCATCTCTTAATGGCCTTGCTGATCATCTTTGACACCATATTTTACAAGGAACAAATAAAAAAAAAAAAAAAAACACATTTTATATCTCACAAATCTTTATGCATATTTCACAATATACCTTTATTATCATTTCAATAAATACAAAACAACACTGTGATTTAAAAGAAAATGTAGTATTAAAAACACTAAAACGCATTAGACATTAGAAATATCAATCTTAATTTGGTATGTTCTTTTACTGACATCTTGTCTCAAGGTGGATGAACCAGCACATCAGGATCAAAATCCACAGCAGAAAATAGCAAACTTAAAAGGGGATGACAGATCTTTCTCAATGAAAAAGGAATGGAATTATCGAGTGGAGATGTGTATGGATATATACACATATATACACATACATAAACACCACAAGAATGTAATATAACCTGAGATACTCTCTGCACCTCATTCCCAGAACACTGGCCACTGGGTGGATCATTAAAAAAATAAAATAAAACACAACAATGGCGTTACGACAACAGTACAACAGCATTTGATGGCCTTTAGTTTCCCACCCCCCCACCCATTTTATTATCAACATTAGCAGTACAAAAAAAAGACAAAACAAACAGTCATCGAACCACAAAAATCCTTAACATTACAATTGTAAAACATTGTTGTAAGCAGCGTTTTGGAGTCCATAAAAGGCATACAAAGAAATAAGCTTAGCTTCAAAAAGGATTGTTGAAAAAGATTAAATCAGATATTGTAAAGTTAAAAGCAGTTAGATGATAAGAGTGTGTGTTTGTGGCAGTCAGGCGAATAAGAAAGTGTTTTTTGCTCCCCACTGTGGCTGTGGACATGAAGGCAGTGGACCCACTGACTAAAGTACAAGGCCCTTCTTTTCTGCTCTCACCCAAAGCTACACATTATGTTGCGATTTCTACTTTTTTCTTGAAAATGAATTTGACAAGCATGCTGACCATATTTGTTTTGGATGCTGGTCATTTTGTCCTTTTGCCATTTCAAACCTTTTGGGTACTAAACAGCTATCGCAATCCTGTTTTAATACATAACTTCCTTGGGGAACAAGCTAATTATCAATATCAAGGTGTAGCAAGATCTTATAAAGTTGCTCTTTTACAGAGCACCCCAGTACAGCGCCATCCTAATTATTTTCTGCACACTTCCTGTCAACTGGTTTACATAGACCTGCAACACTTTGAGCATTTGCAGTTTTTTCTGTCCTTCTTCGGGAAAGAAAACCTAAAAGATTTCTTATTATCTTATTAAAGTGACAATATTTTAAAAGAGCCTTTGGTAAACTATAGGTACAATGTCTGGAAAGGCTGACTTTAAAGACTTGTCAATTTACATCAGCTTTTTGACTTTAAAGCAGGTTAACAAGAAGGGTTTTGATTACTGTGAAAAAAAAAAAAATCAAGTCTATCTTTCTAGCAATCAATGTATTATAATCCTGAGTAGAGGTAAGAACTGACAAAGGGGCAAAATGACCATTTGTTACATATGTGAGGCACTAAACTTTATTTCAACACCTATTTTGATAGCTCATATAAATACCTCGGCTGTTTCCAGCAGAAGGGGAATGTTTTTTTGTGTTGATACAAATTTCTTTGTATCAACGAATTTCTTCGTTGATACAAATGGCTATACCAGACTGAAGGACTACGTTAATATGAAAAAAAAAGTTTCATAAAAATAGTTTGAAATAAATATAATAGAAACATTTGGATTCAACTAATATACAACTAGGTTAAGGTTTTGCAAGTAATAATTATTGAAAAAAAAAAATACTCTGCGCTAAGTGCTCCGACTGAATGTCTCCATGCAGAAACATTTTGAGACTATTTCAATTTGATATGACGCTCTGTTGTTAAAGAGCATCAAATCAGTTTTATCAAATTACAAACCAGCTAAACCATGAGTATAAAAAAAAAAGAGAAAAAAAAAATCAAGAAAAATAAAATAGTACCTAAACCAAAGCAATAAACTACCTACATTATTTATCTGGTCTAAGGCCTTGTATCTCTGCTTTGCACCTTCAGAACTAGTGTCTGCCACTTGGTTTGTCTCAGCTGTAGAAATGGATGCTGTTTGTGAGAAAAGCATTACTCTTTAATATCTCTCTGTACACTAGAATATAATATTCTTCTCTTTACTTTACAGTACAGAAACTCCTCTTCACATATTCTTCCGGTTCTTCATGTCAGCAGGAGCTATGTTTTTGTGCTTATCACCAAAAATTGCAGTGCAAAAAACAATAATTATTAATATTAATAATAATGATTATATTAATAATAATTAATGGTAGCTATTGAAAAACAATGGATAAAAAAAAAATATGGCAAAAAAGCCACTTAATTCACATATAGTACAAATAACCAGGTAAAACCCAACTGTTATTGTAAATGGAAGAAAAAAAAAACTTTATAAGGTTTGCATAGCAATGCAACAAGTCAAAGAAAATATTTACAGGAAACAGAATTCCCTTTTCCTGAAGGGTAGGTAAAACAAAAAATTATTTCCACATAGATGTTTTGTTTTTCTTTTTACTTGCTTTTTTCTAACAAAAAGAAATTACAGTAAGGTAGGAGGTGGAAAATATTTTCTTGAGGACAAATCCTTTGTGAGATGTACAGTATGTTTGTGTCTTTACATCACATATACAGATCTGTTAAACTGCCTCTTGCTGTGGTTCTATCTACTGCTGTGCATCTTCCCTCTGAGAATGCACAAATAAGGACAAAGTTCATTGGCCAAAACATGAGGGCAGGTCCCAGTTTACAGCCGATGTGGATCACTCTGTGAAGGAAATGAGAATGGAAGAAAATGTTACAAAACTTGAGGAAAAGAATATGATTTGGTCTATTTCAGAAACAACTTAAAGGAGTACAAATGCCTTTTTAAATAGCATGGCAGTAAAATATTGCCCCATTTACACTACCCCTCTGAAACCGATCCATGCTGAGTTTGGACTGAGCTTGGATCAGTTAACCGTGCCAAGCTTGGCTCCTTATGACCATTTAAGATGCTAGCACGGTTCTTCGCCCCCTATAGGCGGTCCACTATACTACAGCTCTCAAAGCGGAAATTACGCAAACAAAAATGGCGGCGCCATTTTTGTTTAGGATATTTAGGAACTTATGTTTGTTTATATTAGTGATATTTCGTTGCTTGCAGAATGTCAGGCGAAGAAGGCATCCTTCTCGGTCCTGGCATCATTTCAGGACACACACACACGCTCTTTTGATGCAATTTATTGTTAATAGGCTGAGAAGAAATTTGTGTTGTGCACAGATGAAGAGAACTGTGAATTGCATAGCCAGACAGGCCAGAAAAAATAAGTCAGCTGATTGTAAATAGGAGATGATGCGGTCTGCTCATGGGCTCTTTGTTGTGAACTGAACCAAGCCACAACTGAACCATGTTGAGCCGTTGAACTCTTGAACTAGTACTAGATTTAGTAAGATTTGGTTGTGATTTAGCATAATTTGGTTGGTCCAGTTCAGTTATGTCCCATTTACACTCAAAGGTTATCTTGGTTACTGTGCTTGGACGGTTCTCAATAAGGTATTAAAAGGCTAGTGTAAATGGGGCAAATATCATATCAACAAACAAGACTTGTTCATTTTTGTACTAAGTAATAATAGAATGGCGCTAACATGAACGGAATACTTACATAACTCCCCATGCCCATTGGCCCCAAGAAACTCAGCATGCTCTGTGGCAGTCCACTGTTGTGGTTGTCGTGGACCGTCGGTCTTCCGTGGCCCCGTCGAGCCCTTGGAGGAGGTTGTACCAGATGAGCTATGGCCTCCAGGGGAGGGAAAGGATGGTTTGCTGTATGGCAGACATCCATCCTCTGAAAGAAAACAAAACAAAACAAAGAAATGTATACTTTCCATTTTAAGGTACTCACAGCTATTTTATTTTCTTAGTGAATAGACATTAAATTACAATTTTCATAGAAAGGTTGATGTATTTCAGTAACTTCTTTCACTAATTGAAATACAAAACATAAATACACAGACCTTTTTATGTGTATTTATGATGATCCTTATGTCTAGATTTAAGATTTTAATATTACATCAGTCCAATAGAAAGTACTCTCTAATACATAAATGTAAGTTTAGAAAATAGTATGTTTAATACTTATGTAAAGGCAGTTATTTTCGAACAGTACTGAACTTATTCAGAAGCATCATTGCAACACATTTTCTATTGTATTAGATAAGATTGCATGTTTCTGTTACATATGTAACCAAAAACATGTTGATGCAAAACATTAATGGAAAAAAACTAAACAAACTGGCTTTTATTTAGTGTGTGTTATTAACAGTTATTGTCACAATGTAATAAATGTTGAAGACAGGAAGAAACAAATCTAAAAAAGACATATAAAGCTAAAATGTATTGGTAATAAACTAATGACTGAAATAAAACTATATTTGTAGTCCTGTGACCCCTCTTTAATATTACACTTAACATCATATTACTATTACAAGTCTAATTCAGCCACATCTGGAAAAGTGAAACAATCCTACAAGAACCTGTTGACAACTAAGTTCCTGCCAAATCGTCTTTTGCTGACAGAAGCTGGACTGGAACCTAGAAGGTTCTGATCCTAAGATGATTACAAGCTCTGACTATGTTCACATTGCAGGCAAATGCGACCCAAATTTGATTGATTTATCTACATGCGACTCATATACAACTTTTTTTTAAATGGCAGTCAGAACAGCCTCCCAAAAAAATCAGTGGTACTGAACAGAATAAATATCTCATAGTTTTTTAAGTGTCTGGATGCTGAACTCTGATGTTCCATTTCATCCGACGTTTAGGTTATCATCCAGACTCTAAATACTCATTCATACAGACTCCTCTCCAGCACAGCGGTCGCTGCTCCAATAAAAAATTCACAATAAATAGTTCTGTTTTCTATTATCTTTCTTTATCTTGGTATAATGCAATCATAATACTGTTGACAACTAATAATAACAGAAATGCCAACACCTTTTTGTAAACAGTGCGCTGCTGTGTGAAGTCTACACTGTCTTTTAGAGCATGCGGGTCATGCTGGGGCTATAAAAGGTTCAGGCAAGTCTGATGGTGGCCACATTTAAATATTAGTCTGAGTGGCCATATAGAAAAAAAAAATCTGATTTCTTCGACATATCAGAATGGCTATGCTTCTAATTTTTAGGTATTAAAAATCCAGCCTCTCATTGTGGGTAAAAATAAATGTCTACAACTATGTTGTTGAAAAGAAATAAATGGCATTTGTAATACATTAACTTTTGAAAATTCCAATAGACACTGACAGTGCCATAATCCTGAAAGGTAGAGAGAAAAAAGAAAGCAAGGATAGCCAGGGGCTCCTTGCATAAGTTGACCGAGAAGTCAAAAAAATGATCAAAAGCATTGTTCAAGAACTGAGGATGATTTGAACAGAAGTACAGTACAGAAGAAGAGTAGTTTTACATTTTAACCATTATGGTCTGTGAATATGACACAAAACTGAATTGTAGAGGGGAAAAAAAAACATGCTGAACCTTATTGAAGGTGGAATATCTGGCTGCCAACATATAGTAGGTGGACTGTTATGCCAATAGTGTCATTAGCTGCATACAGTACTCACAAAAAAAAAAAAAAATAGCACCCCCCCAACACACACTACACCCCCCTTTAAGGGTTACACATCTGATATACATTATGATATATGGCACTGCCATTCTCAACAACTTCTGGCATTGCCAACAAGCAATGCCAGCGTGTGCTAAAGCTTGAACCCTTGGTCTGGTCTTCTGGCCTACAGCTTTATGAGGGGGTAAATACAACGGCAGAAGGTCCTCTGGCTAGTGTAGCATCCCCTACTGCAGGGCACCACAACATTAACCCTCAGCAGTGTCTGTCATCACGTGAAATCTCATCAAACTCCATCCCACTGTTCCGCTAATGACTCTAATAGAGCGTGCCCTGACCTATGATAATTCTTCTGAACATCAGTTAGGAACCTTACTGAAAGCTGACTGTGGCCCCCGTTGTTGTCTTACACTTCCCAATTAAACAAAAAAAAAATGTCTGAGAAAGCCTTGGCACAAAGAGGCAGGCCAGCACAGCATGGAGAGTGTTAACAATCACACATATGAACCCAGACTCGCACAGATGGGGTGAAGAGTAGCTGATGCTGGTGTAAGCAAAGAAAAAAAAAGCCATTATAGTCCATATTAGCCATGAAGGCCTTCTACATCACTTGGAGTTAAGCAGGCACTGTAAGAGTAAGATGGACAATGGGAAAGTTAAGGGAGGGCCGAGGGGGGAGGGGATCCTGGAAACCAGAGCAAGTGGCAGACAGCACGATCTGCTCATGAGAGCTGAGTCTTGAAACAACATAAAAGCTTAATTTAAGAAAGGAACTTAGAGAAAAAATATCCTGAAATCAAAGCACAGTCCTACTTTTTTGCTGTCTCTACAATGTAACTGTGCAATAAGCTCAAAATTCTTATTTCAAGCACTATTTAAAAGCATCGCAGGTAATTTTTAAAAGTCCAACAGACCTAAATATGTGAATTTCCTGTTATAAACATAAATAAACACATATCAGCATAATGTCAAAAAGAGAACCAATTGAAACTACTGACATATTTATGATGTGTGGTTGACACTGAAAGACATACAAGGCTCAATTAAAGGTACCAAGAATATTTGGCTTCTAGCTTGGAGAAAGTTTTGGTTTCCTTTTTACCTGGTTTGTGGCCCCTGCGCGCATCATCCGCCCGATCCATAGAGCCCAACCTCTCCTGAGCTTGGCGATGATGTTCCAAAGAGGTTCGCATCTGTCGATCAATAGAGCTCTTCATATCGTCAGACCCACAAAGGAGTCCTGACATGGGTGTGCGCTCCAGAGAAGAAGCCTTCCTATCTGGGGTCTGTGCCATGCTGCTTACACTACGAGCCCCTTGGATGCGGCCCTGCCCCTGACAGGGAGGGGGCTCAGGGGGAGGAGGTAGGTCTTTATAAAGAGAAGGCATATGGAAATAAAATTATTGTAAAAATAAACAATGACCAGATATTCACACTGTTTTTCATTGTATTCAATTTTTCTAAAATATAAAAAAGACAATTTATTAGATTGTGATTTTATGTAATTAAACAATACAAGTCTTTTTTTATTTTGAAGGGAAATAAATATTATAAAAACTTTTTAAGACAACCCAAGTCTCACTGAATACAGTGTGGCTACTGTGGTGCATGTATGCTGCAAAAAGTAACACACTTAATATTGCAACCAGGGTGACCCAGCTGCCTCTCCGGCTGCAGAAACAGCGCTTCAGAGAAAAGAGGTTCATGGTCTTTATGTGCACATAAAAATCCAATTTCCTCCTCTAAAAGCCCAGCTTTTTGTCTGCGTTTCTGTTTTGCCTTTATGTTTCGCAGGTCAATCTTATTTTGAAATCCACTTTTTTCTGTTTGGTGCTTGATTTTTCTTTGTGCGGTGGAATTCTAGAACTTGATGCAGAGACGACTGTGGAGTATGGCCAAACTTCTTTGTGAAGAAACATTTCTTTGAACCTCATGTTTTCGATAACTGCATTTGCACCTTTACAGTGGCTCATGATTAATGACGATGATGAACATTTAAGCCCCTTGCAGCACCCACACAGAGCTGCAAAGCATCTTTATAGCCGCTGCCCAATAATCAGTGTAAGCGTATGATTCCTTTTGCAAAAGAGATTTGACGAAGAGCAGTGTACATCTGAATTCAATCTAATTTACCCAAAAGCCCCAGAATAAAATAGTGTAAACAATTCTGTTAATCGGATCAGCACCCATGATATCCATGGCAACTCTTGAGAAACTGCAGAGATCCATAGCTAAGAAGGGATAATCCCTGTGCTACTCAATGTTGGGTTTCTTGCATAAAATCCAAAAATAACAAATGAAAATTTGTGGTTCAAGGGATATGAATACCTTTGTACCCATATATATGTAAGAACTCAACACCAATTTACCTACAATTAACTAAACTATGTATGCAAAGTCTTTGTCTCACCATCTGCACCAGCATCTCTCCGGTGTGGTGTTGTGCCTTGACTTCGTGGTTTGCGAGTGGGCCTAGTGGCCCTCTGATGGCCCAGGCTGTGTGTGCCGACTGTGCTGCCATCTGTTGAAAATGGACTGCTAGGACGGGCCCGGTGGGACAAGCCTTTACCTGCAGGAGGGACCAATGAATAAGTCAATCAAAATACATGCCTACAGTAAATAAAAAAAAAACACCCATTGTAAAAAAGGCAGCCTGGTTAATAAAGCCCTGTGGAACCACGACCCAGAGATTAGAGATGAGATTGATACCATTAAAGACGCAGCATATCAATCATGTTTGGTAAAGCAAAGGTTTTTACTTGAAGTAAGGATTGTAAGAAATAAAAGAGTAAAGGCTTGCAACTTGTCACCCATGTATTATATACTGTCAGAATCAAAAGAATCATTAAGGAGAACCATGCGCAGCCTGTGCGGAATCCAAAAAAGCAGAAAGACCAAGAAAACAAGGAGGCAGAAACCATCAGCCCAATGATGAAAGGAAGAATAAGAAGTGTTCCACTGCAGCAGTGGATATTCAGTTTCCACAAACCAACCTCTCTTGCTGAGGCTAGTTCCCTCAAGCCGGTATCCTGCCTTGTCTGCAGCAGCCACAAGAGCCTGGGCAAAGCTGCAGTGTGTAAAGATGGAGCCATCAGAAGAGCTGCCCAGACTGGATCTATGGCTGGAAAAATTACGTTCATCCTCTGAGGCCGAGCCCCACCCATTCACCATGGACCCTGTGGAACCCAACAGGTTTCATTAAATGTGCTTTTGGAAGTTCAGTTTTTGGCAGTGTTATCCTGGTCTGAAAGAATGTTGGAGATGCAGATTTTAGTTTTAGTTTCCCTTTGCCTATGTTAACTTCTGCTCTATTTCGGTAGCCTGGTTTCTGTTTGTGCTTTAGGATTCTAATTATGCTTTAGATTTTTTTAATTTTACTTCAACTCTACCATGTGTCTTCAGTAATGACTCGACAGGCACTATTACTAATATATGGTTAAAAGGTTACATTTTCAAAGCAATAAAATGAAACTCCATCATTAAACACCTACGGATCAAAATCCTCTTAATTTGAGTCTAGAGAACATACCAAGCTGAGTAGATTGTGCACTTCTGCCCCTGCCCCCCACTTGTTGCTGTGGTCTGAGGCTTAGGTTAGCTGGCTGAAAAAAAGGCAGAATTTTTCCTGCCTAAACAAAGAATTTTAAGATATTTGTAAACATTACTGGACAGTCATGGTGGTTAAAAAGAGTACCAAACAACACTCTAAAGGGATATTGTGAAATGACACTTAGAAAGCCACCTGTTAATTGAAGTGGCTAATTATTCCAGAAAAGGAATTCAAATTATTACTAAATGGAAAGGAAAATAATAAAAACCATGATAATATAATTGTAATATTCAGTACGTTTTATGTCAGTGGGTATAATGATACACTTCTATTTGTCTTTCATTAGTGTAGTTTTAAATGGTTTGTAAACACTGAACACTGGATATATTAACATTGGGTTATCATGTTCTTGTACTGTCCAATTCATTATGTGCAGCAAAATGTAACATTGCATCAGCCACAGACAAGCTGTTTCATCGTATTAAGTTTGAAAATCTTACACCTGTGCTGCGATTCTATGTTCTATGAAAGAGACGGATAAAGCTACTGAGTGATCTTAGAAAAATAATAATTAAATCATTTCGTTCCTGCTGCAGGCGATCTCTGTTCCAGAGAGATCTGTTGTGTAGTCATTCTGTTCTGGCCTGCCCTCTTTCAACTATTATGAACACAAAGCTTCAAAGTACCCCCCCGCACACAAACACACACAGAAATGTGTGCATGCAGAGCATACAGACTAGCACACAGTGGAACGTCAAGACTGTCATCAACCCATTTTTTACTTTTTTGGTAAAGAACAATGAGAGCACCTGTGCGGAGCTTCAAAAGTGCCTCAGGTGACGTCTCGCTGAACACTGAATTGAAGCAAGCAGCTGGCAGTGTGTGGAGTTTTTTGTCTTTCTTTTTATATATGCAAAGCCATGGTTAAACATTCTGGCAATTTTAAGTGAAGAATAAACATAAGAACTTTTTTTTCTATGTATTAATGTTGAATGTCTAATGTTTCCAATGTATTTTGGAGCAAAAATCTTAAAACAAAAACCTTCAAAGTGACAAACGCAGATTTTTCTGTGGTGCATTTGTTTTGCAATTTTTTTACATTTTCCTGCTCTCATATATATTTAAAAAATAACTTTGTACAATTGAAAAACCTGTCACTGACCTTACCCAGTTATGAACTATTCCACAGACATTGTTTTTGCAAGTTTTCTTTTCTTTGAATGTAGTTTCCATAATATTTTCCATTAAAATTCTTCAACTGTTCCATTTCGAAAACATTTTGTCAGGTTTATATAATAAATGTCAGTTGTTCTCCGACCACACCAAACTGTAGCTTTGATATGGCATCGCAGGATGATAGCTCCTATCAGGCTGTCTTCAATTCTGTGGTAGATGGTGCCACATCTGTTTGAATCTGCTCATTGCACCCGGTGCTGGAATTCTATTTAGGCTCAAAAAGGACCAAAAAACACAATCAGGGTGTCTCTCAGGGCATATAAACTGTTTCCCATCATGATCAAATGGTTTTTGGTCTCTTTTTGTATAGTTGTACAAGGTAACCATGTGCCTTACAGCTATTAAAAACACAAATAAATCCTAACTAGCAATACGCATAGATTTTTCATAAGAAAACGAATATGAAAAATTGCTTTTCAAACCCAAAGTGAGCCCTTGTTGGAACCTGATCTAATATAGGACACATTTCCATAAATTGAAATTTGTCTCATAGACCTCAACCTTTCATACTCTTTATGGCTTATTCAGAAAATAATGCATTTTACTGACAAAATACCTTTCTAATAGGAATATATCAAATGCACACAGGAATAAACAAGAACTTGGACTACAAAGAAATGTGGTTGAACTTTTGTTTGTAAACAGGAAAAAGGAGGTATGTTGTTGGTATGTTGTTTAAAAAAACCTGTTAAGAAACAGTTTTTGGCCTCAGAATTGGAATCTTGGATTTCAGGATGGCACTAACCCAAACCTTAAGGACAAAATAGTTTATACCACAGCTACAACCCATTAGGAAGTTAATAGCCAGAATACAAAGGTGTCCTGCTGGTGTTTTGTGCCTCACAGCACCTCGGATAAACTACTGGAAGATTATTATCAGGTATGAAAATCGTTTTTTACAGTATTGTGTTTTTTTTTGTCTTCCTTGTCAAAAAAAAAAAAAAAAAATCTGCTAATTTAATTTAAATGGCAGTACATCCATAACCAGACTCCGAATAACTCACCTGCACGATTAGCAGTTATAATTAGCCACAAAAAAGGACAATCATGTAGACACATAAAGGAGATGCATACTGCATACTGTCAGAGCGATGACTGCTGGATTACACGTATAGTAGAGTATTTTTTTGCGGCTTGATATTTTTTCCTACACATAAAAACCTGGGCAAGCACTTTAAATATAAAAGTAGCCATCTGCCAATAAAAGTACGGTACTTTGGCAAGCGGTAACACAGAGAACAGTCGGCTAATGTGACAGCTTTCAGTGGGAATGGTTTGGCAGAATATTCCTAAGTGGCATGAACCCAAAGAGCTAGGCTCACACACTTCGTCTCTCTCTCACACACTGTGACGCGATTGAACAGGCTGGTGTAACAAAGAACTGGGATGCTTTGAGGATAAGGGTTGTTAAGACAGCAAATAGGACAATTGCTGGACTGATTAAAAGGTCAGTTTGATACAAAATTATATATTTCTTTATAGATTAGTGGCAAACTGATATAAGAGAGAAGAGGATTCACAAGACTTTAATGCATTTTGCTCTTGCTCTCGCAGAGTCTACCACTCGTTGAAATAACATGTAACACTTTTGAAATTGGGCAGAAAATTATGACTGTGGTTTATATATCCAGACACGCTGGGGAAATCCCCCTAAAAGTTTTCCAACGTCTCCATCTGCAGGCCTCCTCATTTATAGGAGATGGTTAGTACTTCTCTGGATGTTACTTTGGGGAATTGCACTCCAGCAGCAAAAGTTGCAACAGCTTTCCACTTTATTGCAAGGAAATTCACTCCGAATTTTTGAGAGTTCTGCACAGGCTAGTAAGAGGTTGAGTATCTACTAACACAACTCTTTTTTTTTAAGCTACAGCAGATCAGGAGGAGTAATGGCTTCAAGCCATCAGTCTTTCCTTTTTCTATTTTCCTTCAATTCCGTTTTTAGGATTTTCTTTCTCTCGAAGACAGAAACTCCACTGGGTCAAATCCTCCCACAAAGAATAGGGACAATAATGAAGTATTGGCAGTGCCAACCAACTGAGGTTTCCAAGTCATCGAGCTCAGTAAAGGGAACACTGCCTCAGCAAATCACATCACAGACCAACTTTCCAGCTACTCTTACTGTACATGCACTTTCCACTGAGAAATCTCTTCTATTCTCTGAAACATCAGTTCAATCAAATTGGGATTATACTGCTGTAATTAAAATGGAGAAATCTTTTTTTTTTTTTTTTACTTTTTACTATTTATATATATAAAAAAATCTCTAAATTCTTATCAAATTGTGAACGTTTATATTGTGAAAAATCTGAGATCAAGATAGAGAATTTCAAAGGTTTTCCTTTTAAAAAAAAAAACATTTCTTAAAACCAAAAAACACTAATCTTATATGAAATGGTCTAAAAACAGAATTTTGAAAGAATTTCTGTAAACTTTGCTGGAAAATAAGAATTTTGTCAACCAAAAACAAGCAATATTTCTAGCCCTCACAGATTGTTGTTCCATAACAAGCTCTTCTGTCGTCCACTAATTACTTGTATTACAACACCTTTTTGAACTGGTCAGACTTCAAACTCAACCATGGTCAAGACCAAGGAGAACCTTCACCAGGCTGGGAAGAGATGTGGCAATCCCAAATAATGGAAACATCAGGAAAAAAGGTCATGAGAAATTGAAAAATACTAAGGCCTCTGTCTTAAAAGAGCCTGGAAGGTGAAGTCAACAGCAGCACAGCAACTGTGGGCATTGGAGGACTCAGGGCAAACATCTTAGTAGATGATCGCTGTACTCGGAACAGCTAAGGTACTGCAATAAACCCTTAAGCTTCCAGGGCCTCAGGTAGAAGACATAACCTTATGATATATATATATATATTTACAAAAAATATAGGACAACACTCCTACAGTATATTTTTGATATTTGTAAAAAGCACTCTAAAAAATGATAGCTGATACCTTTTAGCTCCATGAACCAACTGAGAAAAGCCAATAAACACTACATGGTTTGAGGCAGTAAAACACAGTGCTTTTAATTAAGAGGGAAAATGATCATCTGTGATGAGCGGCCATCTCTCCTTAAAATTCAGAAAGGAAGAAACGTTGTTACTCGCGTAGTTAATGGGAGAGTAATTCCCCACAACAATATCACCAGTTTCTCTACATCACATGACCCATACCAAACCATGTAATACCTTTATCTCACTGGCTTAAGTAAAAAAAAAGGTACTGTAATACCCAAAACAACTTAAGGGCTTACATTGATCAGGTAGAGATAGGTTCTTTGAGCTCAGAGAACAGTAAAACGCATTGCCTGTGCAGACACTCTGCTTGTAAAAAAAAAAAAAAAACCCAAGGAGTTATTTTCTAAAGCTTCCCTGAGAATGTTTGATTTTATTAGTCTTTAGTGTAAAATTAGGAAAACAGAACCATTTTCACATTCTAAAAACAACGTAAAATCTATCAAACTACACTTAACAGGTCTTTCTCGGCCTCTCGCATTTGTATAGCCTTGAAACCATGGCCACAATAAATCTTAGCAGTTTTCTTCAATCTGTTCTCTCTCCTTCCTGCCAACCCTTAGAACATGGACCGATGGGCTGAGAAGCAGATTAGGTTTGAGATAAAAATAAACATTTCTGTCTTAAGACAGGAGGAAAAACAATAACTGTTAGATCACAGCTGCTGCTTGTCTTTCCTCATTGAGGGCATATTTCAGCATTACCAAATGCACTGTTATTTCATCATTACAATTTACATTTTAGGGTCAATCTCAAGGAGCAAACCCAACATTAGCACTGTCAAGTCCCTGTGCTAACCCTATACTTAATATCTTTAGTGGATGACTGCTGTTTTCTGCCATCTCCTCCTTTACACATTTAAATCTACCAGTATATAATTTAGTTTGAGTTCATGAATTTCAAAGGAGATATATATATAATTGGTAAAAGTTACAGAGGTCTAAGGCCGGGAGACCCAAGAGAGCTAACTTTTATTTAGGAACAGGAAAGTTTAGTGGAGTTGTGTTTTTTCCCCACTCTAAGCTCTTAGCATTGCTCTATCATTGCACTGGTCTACATCACTAAAGGATGGTAACCTTTGGTCTAGACCAGGCATTCCCAAACTCGGTCCTCAAGGCCCCCTGTCCTGCAGGTTTTAGAGGTTTCCTTGCTCCTGCACAGCTGATTTTAATTGAAAGCTGATTAACAGGCTTTTGGTCTACTGCAATCATTATAACCAGCTGTGCTGAAGCAGAGAAACCTCTAAAACCTACAGGACAGGGGGCCTTGAGGACCGAGTTTGGGGATGCCTGGTCTAGACCTAGTGTAAGCAGCAGTCAAGAACTAGCTCTGCCACTGCAACATCTCCCTGGATCCATCCCTGGCACAAAAAAATCAGTGACTTGTATTACAGCACCTGGTCTGGAATCAAAAGTGCTGCATTTGAAATTCATCTCAAATCTCATTGGTAAAATATGGCTGGTGCAGAGTCTGGACTTGTATGCCACTTAAATCATGTTCGTTTTCCCCGGCTCACCTAGCCTCTCCCTCTCCTCATTCCCCTTACATCCCCTCTTCCTACCCTCTTTAAAATTCATGGACTTTCATATCTCTATTTCAGAAATAATAATTGTAATTCCCAACAGTCTGCCTAAAAGTACTAAAAATAATTTCACAGAGCTGCAGTAGCACATAAATCCATCTGAAAATAACACAGGGATGTGACATAAATGTTTTTAGGAGTAACTATAAAAACAAGCTGTAATGACATAGGATCTTTAAACGTGATGTAATGTCAATCAATATATTTTTTAGACATTATAAAAGCACAGAAAAGGGTAAAACAGTCATCTCACCTGTTAAAGAGCTGTCCAAGTTGTCCATGCTAGACCCTGGTGTGTGCTCTATACCACGAGGATGTCTGGCTCCATAGCCTTCATCCTCGTCCTCTTCCTCCTCTTCCTCCTCCTCATCTTGCAGGTCAGTCTCCAGGTCGGAAACAATTGTGCTTGACACATAACCTACTGGAGGAGCAGGGGCCTGAGGAGGAAGGGACCCCCCCTGAATGTGCCTGGGAAATAAACGTTTAGAAGTGAGATGAATATAGTGGAAAACAAATATTAATTATTTTTGGAAAAAAAAGCAAGGATGTAATTTATGTTGAAATACAAAGCTAAGGTTGGAGGCATAGTTCACGTAAATGGTTGAATAACTTCAGACAAATCCACTAATTCCAAAGGTCAGCTTGCATTCTAACACAATGACCTGCTAATTGCGTGTGTGGATGTAACAAAGGCATCCTCCTGTAGGCCTGTCGACACATGGCTGTCACCCCACTGGCAGCCTGTTTTGCTGACAATCGCATTTGTTAGAGGGAGTGCAAAGTCTTTGACGCGGTTTGCAGTGGGAATTGGTTGTAATTACTGGCCCTCTGCTGTTGTCAGAGATGCTCTCTAACCAACATAGTCATTACTGGGTAACATGACATCTCCTTCCTGACAAGGCACCCCCCCCCCCACAGCCCACTTCACGGTTATGAATGAATGCAAGTCTCTCGCTGTCTCTGCACCGATGACAGAATGAAGCATGGCCTTCATCTGACTTGCATGAACAAAACAACAATGGAATGCAGAATGTATGCGTGCAGGGAAACTAAACAACCATGGGCATGAAATTGTGTCAGTTGGAGTAAGCAAAATCTAGTACTCACTTAGAGTGGTAGCTTGGGCCTATTAAAGTTGAATGATTAATGGGTTTATCTCCACACCTTATACAGTTGAGATAAGAAAAAACTGCAGGACCGAAAAAAAACTTGCAAAAATAGGCACTTCCAATATTTACTTTACAACACCTTTTTAATATAGATCAATTATATTAACTAAGCGGTTGTTGTTAATATTTTTTAGGCCTTTTCACAAGGATATAAAACAGTAAAGAGGGGTGTGGTAAACAAGGTACTGCTTTGTGGTGAATATAATGAATATGTATAGACGGGGTCAGGGCTAAAAAAAAAAAAATATTCTGATGTTCATTCTTTTGTTAAAATGTCTAATAAACAATTTCATAAAAGAATAGCTCCATACATTCTTATATCTTACATCCAATCCAATCCACTTTATTTATATAGCATGATTTCAATAAACACAAGGTTTCCAAAGTGCTGCACAAAAAAGATAAAATAACTAAAATAAATAAAAGTAAATAAAATAAAATAAAAGCACTGCCCGCACAGTATAAAAATATGCATGTGTATACATAAAATCAACATGTGTATACATAAAATCAACATCTCAATAATAAAAAATTGGGGTTGCCAAAATAAGGCTTTTAATTAAGCTAATTTTTTTTACATGTGTGGGTGGTGAGGGGAGGGTCAAGAAAAAAAACAAAACACTAAATTGCGCGTAAAATAATTACGTTTTTTTTTTTTTTTTTTATTACGTACAATAATTGGCCGCGTTTTATGTGATCTACAAAGATTGCAGCGCAAATATGTGATGTGTACTAATAAGCCAAACAAGTGCGTTGAACAAATGCGTTATCATATAGGTAAAGAAGGTAGAAAGAGAAAGAAAGAAGTAGCATGTTGACAATTAACATAGAAAAGTGAAAAAAAGGTGTTTGTGTTGCTAATGGAAGAGCAACAAGTAGTAAGTCTAAAATCCATAATAAATTCAATAGCTTTTAAACCATAGATCCTAAAGTAGAACTGCAAGACCAAAGTTACTCATGTTCTTGCTTAGGGTGGGGAGGGTTGTGTTGGCTCAAATGCCCAAACACACTGGTGTGTGGCTAGTTATGTGTATATGGGCATCATGATAGAGAAATGTAGCCACTCTAGGAGCTGATTTTTAAATAGAGTTGGTTTTGCAGCTGCTTTATTTAGGTTGGACCCCTAACTGAGCAAGAAGGTTGTTGTATACCCCAAAACCCCCAATTCATAGTGTTAAGGTATTTTATAAGAATGGGACGAGATGAGTAAAAAGTACCAGAGAAAGAGAATAGACTGCCTTAACAAAGAAAACTTGGGATAACACAAAATATGGACGGTGTAAAACACCTGCAAGTTATTGTCAATGTATTGAAACTTACCATGTTTGTTTTGCTATGTCCAGTTGGTATGCTCTGGTCAGCTCATCCAAATGGGCCTGGAGCATAGGCTGCATTTCATCTCGGGGAGAGGGGGTTAGGGTAGCTGTGGACTGCTGTCCAAATGAGACAGCAGCTGGTGAAGAGGCAACTCCTCGAATGGGAGGTGTAGGAACCCTTTCCTCCTCCTCTTCAAGCTCATCTTCCATGCCTTGATGAAGATATGTCTGTACAGGCATGGGTGGGCCCCAGTTGTCACTTTCATACCTGTGGTAAGAGTTTAAACAATGTTAATTACACAGTGATTAGATTTTTGTCTAATGGAAAAAAAACATTTTCTTATTAAGCGAGAATCCTATGATCGAACATTAGACCATTTTGACTTTCTCTAAACTTAGGAAGGGTTTGTTACTTTGCATGTCAGAATTCACTCTCTCATACACTGACTGTGCTTACACACGCTGAAATAAAACAAGCCATAAAAAAATTTTCATTAAAGAAATTTGTCGGCGCACACTCCGTGGGACATAACGGATTTAATCGACTGCCATTAAAACAGCCTCAGATTTACAGTGCAGAGATTCTTCATTTGCCAGATAGCCTATTAAATCAGATGACTCTCTCTGATTGGAAATGGAGGTGAGAGGACACAGAACCACATGCACCAAAGGGAGGGAAACTGTGAATTGCTTAAATTACTTTCTATTAGTTTAAGGCAAAGTGTGTTGGTGGTGCTTTAACACCCTTTAATCCGTATTTATGACACAATGTTGCCAGGTTGTTTAAAGAAACCTGTCCATCTATCGGTGATACCTGGTGATTTATGCAGGAATGCAAGGTAGCTAGTGTGTATTTCCAGACTGAGCTAAAGGCAGGTCACACCTCAGAAAAGTCACTAAGTCATTTAGGAAACAAACTTTTCTAGAGTTGCATAGAATGATGTGACAGGACGCATCAAAATAAGAAAGAAATCAGCATTCATAAAAGCCAATCTAGCAGGTTTATATACATCAATATGGGTTTGTTTCATGTGACATCCCCTACTGATTAGCTTTCTTAACTGCAAGTGTATAGCTTTTTGTATTTAGGGATCAATAACTTTTCTTATTGGATAAATAAAGCCAAACAGGACTGAGATACAATGCTATTTTCCACATAAATGTATGGCGCTGGTCATGCAAGCAATGCATTTGTTATCTAACAAATGAAAGAATATAACTGCAACTTACTAAGATGTATTGCAGAAGATGTTATGGCTGTAATGTATTAACAACTTCCACATATTTCTCAAATTGAAATACAGGTACAACTAATTGTACTTGTATTTCTAAATTGTCTTGTTTATAGTGTTTTTTTTTGTGCCCAGCTTTTTCAAGTATGAAATTAAATGTCAACCATGATTTTTTGTACAAGTCCTGATTATTTCCATACTGCCAGAGAGACATTGGTTAAACTCCCTTTAATAAAAGATTGTTTGAAGTAATTTAACATAAATTGCCCATAGTTTGTTTTTTCTTAAATAAGAATAAAATCATATCAAATAACAAAAGAATATATAATCTGAAATATTGATGTCACCATAAGAGTAATGTACCCTATCCTAACACATCATTATACTGTGAACTCTGCACTTTGGATCCTAAGCACATCAAAAGAAAACACATATTTTATACTTCCTATTTCATATGATGTGACAGGAGTCAATGGTTAACATAAAAAGTGAAAGATAATTGATTTTCCCTTTTTATAGTGTGAAAAGTTGCTGATGTGCAATTGTTATAGTACATGGCTATAAAACTATTGCCAACAAAATGGAAGTAGAAAGGGATGGAATGGCAAGATTTTTGTAAAATGTGTAGGGTATACATTTGTTGGGAGGCAAATGGAAAAGGTTTTGGGTGTTTTTTTTCCTATTTTTTTATTCATTTTGTATGTCTTTGTTCAGTTTTTTGCAATTAAGAATTTGTGTTTATTTTCCCATAACATTTACAAAAAAATTAATAAAAATCAAACACATCCAATAATGTCATCTGAACTTGATTATTGACCTGCATAAAGGGAAAAAGGAAAACTGAAAGATAAGCAAAAATAAAAAATCTCCATTTGTTAATTTTAATTTGAACTAAACAAAGCAAAAGGAATTAATGTGGAAGCTGATTATAATGAGTAGATCCGAAGAAATGCAATACTTAGAGATAATTACTACCGTAATTACCTTGTTAAATATTACATTTCTTAAAATATTTTTTGGCACAAACCAATAAAATATAGCGAGAGCAGAAAGGGGTTTAGATCCATATTTTGTCTGATTCCAGAAATGTGTCTGTATCTATGTACAAACATAATTGAGAGACCTACCCTCCTCCTTCATGGTGCTCACTGGGATACAGGTCCATCTCTGTGCCAGGTAGAGGATGAATAGGGGGAGGAGGCAGGGGAATATTGGCCCAATTGGACCCATTTGCTTTGGGGGGTTTAGAGCCAGCCTTGGTTTTCTTCTTCTTCCCTCCCTTACCGCCTGCAAAAAGGAGATCATTCAGTTAAGAGATGTGGTCACTGAAAATTAGATTTTATTAGACAATCAATTAAAATCTGATATACAAGCAGGAATGCATTGTAAATAAAAGAAGATGCTGCCAGTGACAAATATGCATTCTAAAAAAAACTCTATTTGGTGCAAACATGCTGCTTAGATTACAAATCCATTTGCACTCATTTTCAGCATGCCACTGGGAAGTCAAACACAATTTCAAACACAAGATTTCAATAGGCTCTTTGCCTGTCTCTGCTTAAATAGAAAAGCTCAAGGCTGCCTGATGAAGGATGAAAAGCATGTTCCTATTGATTGATTGGCTGAAAAGCCTCAAATCTCCATAGAAACAGAAGAGAACAGCAGTTAAAGCGGCAGAGGGGGACCTTTGTGCCCCACCCATCCCTCAGTCTCCCCTTTAACACCAGGCTTTGGGTCCCCACAATGAAATATCTCACTTCCCAGCATCATTATAATGAATGGCTTGTGTAGTGTCAGTGTGTCCCTAATGGAATTCACTGAGAGTCTATTACTACTTTCATTTCTTTTATTACACCGGAGAGCTGCTAACCCCATCTATTTCCACTCATAACCCTCCAACACCAAATTCTCCACTGTCACATCCATCTTTATAAATCTGCCAGCCGGGTCAATACTAAGTTTTATATGATTCGGTCACATTGCAAAAAACACTTCTATTTTCTTTAAAATATTTTTGACTTCAATCTGGTTTTAGATTAACATAAATACGGTATAAATTACAGCCTAAATGCTTATATTTGCTTGGGCCTTTATTTTACTGTACTTTACATTAAGCACATTATAGTTTTTGACAATTTTTGTATAGTCTTCAATTTTTCATACCTTGCTCCAGTTACAGAAAAATAGACTAAATTCCCTGGGCATCTACTAAACCCAACAAGCATAAAAGGTTTCAGTTTCAACATTCTTTATTTGACACTAGTTATTGTGAAAGCATAATTTTTGTCACTTTATATGTATATGTATTGGTGATTAAAATAAATGTTTTTACAAGCACTATATTGGAAAAACTGAACTCAGGGCCTCATCCTCAAATTGGATGTGTCTTTAGTGGGTGTGTTGCTGCTGGAAAGACTTCATGCACAATAGATAATGGATAAAAAAAAAGTGCTTGTAACTGCTCTATCTGACTGAAAAAATTATGTACTATTGGTAGTTTGGATAAGCAAGATGGATAAAGGAATGATGAGGTTTGAAGCAATGGAGTTGGAGGGTGTAATGACAACAGAAATAAAACATAATAACAGAAACATTATTAGTTATAATAATGAATATTGTTTGTAAAAGTCTTCAAATATACTGTAAGTATCCAAAACTGCTCCAAAAATCGTTTGTAAAATATAATAAAACCTGGAAAAGCCAACTGTGTGAAAGACCAAATTGAAGTCTATTATTACCTCTGCTAACTAAACAAAGGTAATCCCATAAGAATTTACAACACAACTGTGCTTTTTACTGAGCCTGTAAAGGCATATGGAGCCAGAAGAAAGACAATGTACAAGTCTTCACAATGTACAAGATAGGAGCACACAATTTCCTATGCAAATTTTTCTATTAGTATTTCCACTTTGATGCCCCTTTACAGGCTATGTGACAGTTTCTTGCTCTCTTTGTCAATGAACATGCCACGAAAATTAAGTTCAGCATTGGTGTTTTTTGTTTTGGCTTAATTGCTTTACGACTGTGTGCTGCATTAAAATGTCCCGCATAGATATCTTTTTCCCCATTAATACATTAGTTCATATGTGCATAGACTCTCTCTCCACCTTCCTTCTTGCACCTAATGTATATAACACAATGGCCACAAACATTTTTACCTATAACTTTGCACCTGACTATCAAACATACTAAATATAGACGCAAAAACCAGTTTCAGGTTTGACAAATGAAATAGCTGATACTAAGAAGTTACATTTGAATGTCCTACACAGAAGGCGGTAACAAAAACTGTGCAAGATGAAATAAGAGTACACAGTGCATGAACTTGAATCTTAAGACACCAACCACATTAGACTACTGCTCGCAATCTGTCTAGCATCTGACATGTGATAACTTAGCCTTTGCTTTGCATTCTTCAGTACTCGAAAGGCTGCATTTCCTCATGTTAAATTTAGAGACGGATTGAGTTATAGCTGTTTTGGTTTTATAAAAGGCCAAGGGCAGAGAAAAAAGTAGTAGTGTACCATTTCAGACCAGTACAAAAAGAATACAAGCTGCCACTGAACATCTTTTTACTAATTTTTTTTTTCTTCTGAAAATGTAGCATATTCTAAATAAATGCAGCAAAAAACTGGTGTAAACCACCAAATCCAGGCAGACATAAGTCGTGTCACAATGAGATTAATATAGAAAAGAGGTAATAAAAGAAACAACTCTGAGCCCAAGGCTGGTGGCACCATAGCCTAAGTATGGTCTACAAGTAATTGGGTTTTCTAATCGTGCCCCATGGCTATGCTTGACTTTTACCAGTAAATAGTAAGCCTACGTGATTGTTCAATCATCCTCAGTCCCTCTACTCAAGACTGGCCATCAATATTGTAAATGAGCCTCTTCCAGGGAAAGATGGCCTGGTACTGAAATTGCAACAGCTCACCCGAATATGAAATATACACACTGTGGCCAGGAGCTTTATAAGAATTAAATGGCAAACTTCTGTCTTTTGATAAAATTGGGTCTCTCTTCAAAGAGGAGCTAATGCTAAACATAGGCTCAGCTTTGGGTATTTATACCCAAGGTTTAGGCACTCCCAGACTTAAACTGCAGTGCTGCCGAGCTTTGTTTTCACAGTGAGCCTCACAGCTTAGGGAAACAGAAAGGAGATTCTCAACTACTTCACAGTTAGAGAGATTCACAACCACAGGAGAATTTGCTAATACCTCCGTTAAAGAGGTCCCAAAGGCCAAGAAATTTAAAGAAAATCAAACCTTTTTTTTCAGCTAACGCACAATGTCAACCTGAAACAATTTTGAAAAATATAACTTTTCAACAATTTGTTTAAAACAGGCGTGTATGGTGTATTTTTGCAACTTTTTAATCTATCTCCTCAGGTTCATTAGGGTATATTTTACAAGGTGGCACATTTGTTTTAGCCACAAAGTGAAAAGAGGTTTATCCTGCAATCACTGACTGATGTGAAAGGAGGTAAAAAAAAAGACCTTGAGAGTTCATGGTTAGAGAGGTTTATATCAGAGCAGTGTGAGTCACTGGCTCTACATGCCAGTTACTAATGTGACTTTGATGGCCCTTTTATGCCCCTTTCATTGAGCTCTACCAAGGCTGGCCCCACTCCACCCACTTTTTGAGTGTTTTCCATTACTTTTTCTTCCTATTGGGTAAGCTATTTTCATACCAGCTCAGAAGGTTGTATAAGGGTCATTGGGTAGGGCTGAACTGTGACAGCAATAGACCTTGATTCACCAACTGTCCTGATAAATCTATAAGTCTAGAAAAGGTGCATTAATCTGCTTTTAGTATGTTTTTCTCCGATTTACCAATGCAAGCTGCCAGCAGCCCTCTCCCTCCTCCTCCTCCACATGGAAACCACCGCACAAAGATCAGAAGTAAAGGAACACATTGCATCTGTGTAATCTACACAGCAATCTGATATTGGTTTTGTATTGCTGGGTCATATGCATATATTTTTTTTTATTTCTAGAAAGTGCTCATTGAAAAAGTGATCCAATGTGTGTGGGAGAATGGGCAAGCAGGGAGGCATTGCCTGTAAGCAGACAACCCGTACCGGTTCTTAAGCAAATAAAACAAACAATGCATATTCTGTTTGGCTCAACTAACCAGAGGCCAGCCTACAAAACACATTTCGCTATTGTCATAATTATGAAGCTTTACACATTATAGTATATAGTCCTCTCACAATGGCTGAGGCAAAAATGTCCTCATAAAGCCCTACATTTTAACTCCTTAAAGCAATAATATGTGTGATCAATTAAAGGTCATATCTGATTTGCTGTCTTACAACAACCTTAGGTGTTTAAGGGGAGCCGGGACTGCCCTAAAATGGCCATCTACAGTAGGTCAAAAGATTCAGTGGCTGATCTGTTCTACTAACGTTACACAGGCAAGTTTTTGAGAAGGGCAGCTGACATGTATAGACATGCAATGTGCATCACATTTGCTGGAAAAATCATTAAATGTATCTTAAATTAAGCAAATACTTGGGTCAAAATTTATACAGTGTTGCTTTAGGGCAAACTTTGGAGCAGATTAGACTCCCGCATCTCCCCTCTCCAGTTAAAGAACACACACAACCTTCCTTACACAGCTTCAAACACCTCTGTTGACAATTAAATAAACCACCAGCCAATTTCATAAACTGTTTTAACAAGGCAGCACATCTATTGACATGCAGGAGTTTAAAACGGTGTTTAATACTTAATACTGTGTTATTATTCTTGTTGTTTTTTGGCGTTGTCTTCTCTAAGGATGCTCACATTTAATAATTCCATCACTGTTTTTCATGTGAATCTGCTTATTACAGTACATGAGCATACTGTCTCAATAAAACAGAACTATTAAGAAGACAGAAAGCAGCTGTGCCTTATTTTTTTTTTTAGTTCATGCTGTTTGTGTGATCCAGATGTTTGATCCCAATGGTTAATTTTATGCCAAAAAATATACAAAAAACATTTATCATATCATTTTTAAAGTTTATATATTTTACTGTTTCAAACTAATTTATTTAATTCCACCGTGTTGCAAAGAAAGGTAATAGTAACAGACTGCATGGCAGTGAGGGCTGCATGCGGGGCTTAAAGCCTCAGCTCCAGCCGTAAGTAGTAGGTCGATGTAAATGCAACCAGTTTCATGCGGAACACAGAGAGACCAAGCGGATTAAAGCCTTACATGTCTGTAATTGTCAATGGAAAAGCAACAGTATTAATTGTATTACATCATTGCTGTGATTGTTCTTACTCTTACCTAGAAGCTGGACTTTTGGCCCATTATTCAGAACTGATACTGTCTCCTGGATGAGATGTAAAACGGCTTCAAAAATTCAATTTAAGTTAATGGATTGCCAGTAAAGACACCCTTATTCAACTGTTCAGTATGGTACTTTGGACATGTTTCTGATCCAAAGGCTCCTGGAACCTGATTAGGGCAGCGTGGCATGAACTATGCATGACTGATCAGTACTGCTTCTTTCAAAATGGCTAACCAAAGCATATGGAAATATCAACAAATATTATTAAATAGGAAAAGCTTTTATTGTTTTTTTTTTATTTTTTATTTTTATGGCTATCTCAGTCTCACGCCTGCAATCTATAGAAAACTCTTCTGGTGAGCAGAAGAGAAGAGAGGAACCATGACTGTGGACTACCAAAGAGATAGTTCAAATGGGGAATTTCAAAACCTTATTTTCTAATGTTTCAGTGTTGTCAAATGTTCAATTAAAAGCTATACTTTTCTCCAAATAACTACTTGCTATAAAGCCATATAAACAGAATTCATTTAAAGCATATTAAAGAGTTTAACAGGGATGCCGTTATATTTTTCTACTTCAGTAAGAGGAATGTTCCAGATATATATACAGTATGTACAAGCTTTGATGAAATACATGGTAACTAATGAGGAAGGGTACCTTATATGAAAGAAGTGGATGAGCTCAGAGGCTCAAACACAACCATGGTGCTCAGATGAACATTGAAAGTAGCTTCAGAGGCAGGCTGGGTGAGAGTGTGGGGCAGAAGGGGGTCTACCGGGTCTCTAACTGCTACAGAGAACACCAGTTACCTCTTGTCCCCTATACTAAGAAAGGTTTTAATGAGCAGATTCCTGTCCCCAGTGGAGAGCCATGCTGTCATGAAAGCTGCTCTATTTCTGTTCCTTTTCATCCTGCTTTCCTCCTTCAGACCTGACGTTCATTATTCCTACCATCCCCTCAGAGGGAAAGCAAGTACGATAGTTTCAACTCCCTCCTTCCTCCCTCAAATGCAGACTTCAATTTGGTGGAAATCTATAAGAAAGCTTTAATTATCCTGATTCAAATGATCATCTCTGTTGCATGTGACCACACATTATACATCG